TATATATATATATATATAATTTATGACCAGTATTTCGAGGCAAAAAGAAGTGATTTATTTATCGAGCACAAAAAATATGTTCATATTCAGTTTGTTAAGCTAGTGAACGAATTTAACACGAGTTTTTTAATGAACAAAAGACGAGATTTTCCTGAACAACGAGCCATTTTGACATCCCTAATCTTGTATTTAATTATAGATGATTTATATGCTATTTTGATATGAAAAATTAAGTTTATATGAGAAAATTAAAAAAAAAAACTAAAAAATTCTTAAATTTCTAAATCACCTTTAAAAAAATTTAAAAATACTACTAATCACGCGAAATTATTTAAAATTAAAAATTTAAAATAATTTAGTATTAATAGCTATTTGTCAAAATTATTATTTAATATTTTTTTATTATATTTTTATTTATTTATGAAAATAAATTATAATAAATTTTAAGTCATTAAAAATACTTTTAAAAATAACTCTATTTTAATTAAACAGTCAAACAAATCTTCTTTAAAATAAAAAATAACAATAAATTAAATTTAAAATAAAATTAAAATGACTGAAAATTAACAGAATTCCTCCTAACGATCGAAAACGGACTACCTGAATGTACACACGATCGGGGTAAGCGATGGTCTTCAGCAAATAATCAGAGGCCCACCGGACGGCGGCGGCGGCATTCGCGAGCTCGTCGGAGGGCATCAATTCGCCGAACTCGACGACGCTCCAGGCCAGCATTGTCGTGCTGAACGCCATCGGGAATCCGAACTTCACATTATCTCCGGCATCATAGTATCCGCCTTCCAGATCGACCCCCGCTTCCCAGCCGTCGGATGCCGCCGAGTCTCCCCGCCACCTGACCCTCTGATCCGGAGGGAGCCGGCCAGATCGCTGCCCTTCGAAGAAGAGGATCGACTTGGCTAGCGCGTCGGCGTAGTTCTGGCCGCCGGATATCGCCGCCGGCGAGAGGAGGAGGAGGAGAAGGAAGAGGTTGGGCTTCATCGGGGATTTTTGCAGAGAAATTGGGTAAATGTGGGGTTTATAAGTGAGGGATTGGGAGCTGTGAGGTTCACGGGAGAGATGGAGCGAGGATTCGGGGGGAAATGGGTTGAGGGTTTGTCGAGGGGAAATGTCAGTGAGCTCACATGCATGGCTATATGGTGGTGGGACCCACACCCAAAAAATTAATTTAAGTTAATTTTTTATTTCTTTTTTTTTTTAATTTTAAATACTTAATGGTTATTTTCAAGGAATAAATATGTAAATATTGCATTAATTTTTTTATTTTTTTTTATTTTAAATACATAATGTTTATTTTGAAGGAATACAAATATTGCATTAATTTTTATTATTATTATTTTAAATACATAATGTTTATTTTGAAGGAATAAGTAGAAAATGGTGTTTTAATTACAAAAATGTAATAATTAAGGTTTTGGTTTTATATATGTAAATACATAAGAATTGGGGGTATATGTGTAAATGGCCCTTTTTATTATAAGGGTGGATTAATTATTTGGACGATGCCCATAAATAGAAATTCATGAACCATTTAGACCTCCAAATCTAGTAATTAAGTAATTATATTTTTTTTTTTATGGAAAAAGAAATCATGATATTAATTTGTATTTTTATGGAAAATATTTTTATTTAACGAGTTTAGTATGTAATCCAGGGCTTAATCTTAAATAAATTTTATAATTATAGCATTTATTATGATTAAATTTGAGATTAAATGTTTTCATTTATTTTTATTTTAATGTATTCCTTTCTTATATTGTTTTAAATTACAAAAAAATAATAATAATAATAATTTGCAATTGGGTGAAATATTTTATTTTTAGCTACACATATCCTAACAAACCTTAAATTAGAATGTTCTATGGTAAAGCTATTTTATACCATCATAATTAGATACATTTAAATAATGATAATCTCATTTTCTTATGATTAGGTGATGTGTAAGACAAATGATGAAATAATAGAAGTCTAAATTGGTAGGTTTAAAAGAGAAAATCATTTGGAATATTTTTAATATATTTACTATTTATTTTTTATTTTTAAAATTTTAAATGTTCAAATATAAATTTAATTTATACGAAAATTTATTCTTGACAATAGCATCAATCATGTGAAAAAAAATATTACATCAGCAGTCCTGATGTGTTACAAGACTCTAATCACTGTCTGTCACGTATACAGTTCGGCTTAACTATGTATTAGATTATATATTTTTTTTAACTAAGAGGTACGACTGTACACGTGGCAGACAGTGATTGAAATTTTGATGTTTTTTTTTGCATCTGGACTCTCTCGATGTAATATTTTTTAGATATCGTGGGCTATAAATTGTCTAATTCACAATATTATAATATAGAATAATTGTATTTTTTTAGATAAAAAAGTAAATAGTGAGTCTATAATATTTTAAGGGAACTTGTTAATCTTATTTTATGAAGAATATAATAATGAATGAACGATCAATCAAATATTTAATTTAATTTGAGATTGTTTTTCATAAGTTACAATAATACCTTTATTTAAATATATTTTTTTTTTCTAGAAAATTTATGAGGAGAAAAATACCTAAACACTCAAAAATAATATTTAATATTTATATTTTTCGATCAAAATCTCTGTACAAAATAGATTAGTATTTTAAAAAAATGATTTTTAAATTCTTATTAATATAAATATAATAAACATACATTATTATTTTCACGCAAATATTTTGATATAATTATGACTACATAATTAAATATAAAAGTTTAGATATTAGTCATATAAATACATTAAAAAAGTTAAAATTTCATACCCCTAATTATATATATATTTTTAATAAAATAATAAAACCAACAGTCAAATAAAAAATAAAAAAGAAATTCAAACTCCTCAACCACTTAAAGACCATAAATTCATATGGATATTAGTTCGCTTATAATTAAATAATAATAATAATAATAATAATTAAAAAATGAATAAAGTTCAGAGCTTTATAGTTGGAAAAGCTTCAGATATAAGAAGAATCACAGTCTACAAACTATATATTATTTATTTATTTATTTTTCTTTTTTCTTAACCTTTTTTTTTAATTTCCACCCACCTCCTCAGCAGCAGTGAAAAGCAGAAGTAGCTTTGCTTGTTGAAGCCAAAAGTCTGAGATGCTGTTCAATAAATTCAGCCAAAAATAAAGATAGCTGAAATTTAATCATTTCATTTCTGAAATTAATTCAAATGGAATATCAAATTATATATATATAT